TCCTCCTCCTCCTCTTCCTCATCCTCCTCCTCTTCCTCATCCTCCTCTTTTTCCTTCTTCCTCCTCTTCCTCGTCTTCTTCCTCCTTCCTCCTCATCCACCTCTTTTTCCTCCTTCCTCCTCTTCATCCTCTTCTTCCTCCTTCCTCCTCATTCTCCTCTTCGTCCTCCTACTTCCTCGGTCTCCTCTTCCTCCTCCTCTCCCTCCTCCCTCCTCCCTCTCCTCTTCTTCCCCCTCCTCCTCCTCCTCTTCCTCCCCCTTCTCCTCCTCCTCTAAGGTGGGCGGGCCCGCATGTATTCTTTATCATTGGTGTGACACACAGACAGTAGCTTTGTCTAACGTTAAACGTTTAAACGAGCGCTCTTTATTTCCAGTCTGTGTTTTAAACCCGCCACGGTTTGTAAAGGCGCTGGTTTCCATGAAACATCGTCGCAGTGTGGACACAGGTTTGATTTTATTTGCGCAGTGAACTTCGTGAATCCACTTCGCTGCTTCAGGTGAGTTCAGAGACTTTTTAATAACTCATGGCTCACGACAGCTATTTACATTATTGGTTATTATTATTGGTTAAAGCCTGCGCTCTGTCGTAAATAAAAATGTACGTTAAACACGTTCATGATGAAAACATGTAAACGATATAATAATAATAATAATAATAATAATGTTCACAGAAAACAATCAACAGTAAGTGGTGCAGCAGAACTACTTTTCCCGGTGGAGGATTCGGGCACGATTACTGTCTCATTGACGTGTTGTTGACTGTTATTTGACCTTAGGTGTGCATCAATGCGCAGCTCGAATTTGTTTAGGAATCATGACATCATGATAATAATAATTATATGTGTTCCTGTAAGTATTGTGTGTGAACACAGAAAGTGGAGCATTATATTATTACATGTTAATCCACATTTATAAAACATGCTGGGAAAGAAGCAACCAGTTGCATGTACTGGCAGGGCTGGTCCTAACATGTCAGGGGCCCACCCGAGCAGAACCCCCTCCCCGACCCCACCCTTAAGGTCCCATGAGGAACAGTTTACACCTAAGAATATGTTCAATAAAGTTTTGGTTCAATGGCAAGTGCACAACGTAAATAAAGGAGTTCAAATGCATCATTAGTATGTTTTGGGTCCCCTGGGGTCCACGGAGGCCATAAACAAATGACGAGAAAGTGTGTGGCCCTTTGCGTTATGTTCTATTAGCTCTGTACAATCCTAACACGTATTCGCAGATGTTTGATCGTCTTCTTGTCTTCTTTCCAGGAATAATGGTGAGCCCCATTGATTCTTTCAAGCTGGAGCTGGATCGTCCGGCCAATGTAGCGTTCACCGTCGGGGAGGTGGTGTCGGGCCATGTGGTGCTGGAGCTCTGCAGGAACACCAGAGTGCACTCTATGAAGGTGCAGGGCCGAGGGGTGGCCACTGCACACTGGCTGGAGAACCTTTGCATGAACACCGTCTATAGCGACTACACCTCCAAGATCACCTACTTCAGAAAGAGGCAGCATCTGATCCGAGGTCAGTGGTGAAAGCTGCAGAGGGGTTTAGTCCTCTGAACGGCTAATATGCAGTTTACTCTGTGTTATAGCTGCATCTTATGTGGTTACTTTTTGCAAGTGACCACACATCCATCCTGCAGAGTGAAATGTGCATTGATGTAACATTTAAATAGTTCAAATATCTTTGTATGGCAAATAAAAGGTTGTTGATGACATTGTAATGATGTGTTTTCAGCGAGCAGGGTCAAATGGGGCCAGTCTACAGGTTCAGCTGGGATACACTGACTTGTGTAACACTAGGCCAAAGAAGACTAAAAATAAACATGGCTATTTAAAAATGCAGAAGAGCACCTTCGCTTCTTTATAAGGAGGGACATTTGTGTGCTGACATTGTTGTCATTCCTGTACTTTCTTGTGATCACTACCATATTTTTGTACAATATCCTAGTATAGTAAAACTTATATATAGTAAAGGAAAAGGCTGATGCTCTGTCATGTGCCAGCTGGTAAATTCTGTTTCTTGTAGTTGCTCCAGTTTTCAAAAGAAAGTCAGCTTGTCCTAATGTGTTGCATGGAAACGCGGGAGAGACGTCAACTCTGGCGCATGATGTGTTTGCCAGATCACATGATTCCTGCAATCAAATGCAAATTACAACTAGTTTTTTACTGTGTGCTGTGTTTAGGGTGTAACCCTGTAAAGTGTGAAATTCCCAGACAGCAGGCAGCTTCAGAACAGGGGCAGAGAATATTGGCCAAAGTGGCTGAGTAAATAGAAGATGGTGGTTAATATTTAAGTATATTCTCTGTAAACAGTACATAGAGCTTGTCTCTTCAGTCAGGTCAGACTGGTCAATATGAATCAACAGCGGGTGGAGAGACTGATTGTTGTTGCTTTTGCAAACTTACATGCAGCCAATCTACTTTCAAAGTAGTTAAATCTAAATGTCCTTTGGGACAGTTTATTGTTCCCTGGTCATTTACAGCCGTATCAAGTATGCACGGTGGTCAAAGGTGCACTGGGGAACTTTTGTACATTCAGACTAAATCATACACCAAGACTGCAGTAACACATCACCTATTAACTGACATGCTGTACTTAAGTCCACACATTTCATTTGTTGATTATTCATCATTTTCTAATCATTGTTCAGGCTTTAAAATACTGAAAATTCCAGACAAATACCAGTTACATCAGTTAGAATGTTTTTTCACACTGTTAACATAGTGTTGTCTGTCTCATTTAATGATAACATTATAAATTCGGAATAGTAAACACATAAATTGAATAAAAATGCAAAAAAAAGAAAATTCTTGGTATTTTTGTTTGACAAATTACTGGTGATGAACATTTTATAACTATCATCATATCATCATATAATATAGATAAATACATACCAGGATTTCTGTATAAAGTCACACACATCCTATGGTATTAGATCCATATCTATGCCTACCACCCTTATAAAGCATCACACGATGATATGTGCACTAAAAATCAAATTTTAGAAATGCAGCCCATGTTGCTGTGGCAACCAGGAAAAAAAAAACATGGCTCCCCTCAGGCTCCGCCCTCCCCCACCATGCTGCCAGCTCAGCTGCTGATGTCCATTCATTTTACAATGTTGTGACACAATTTACTCTTTTTTTTACTGTGAATGAATTATTGTTTTCCACATCTCACACTTGTCAGATCAATGAGGAATCTTCTTCAAAGTGGGTTAATATTTGTTTTACATATTTTGTACTTTGCAGCTCCTCTGGTAAACACTGTGGAACTCATGTATGTTTACTTTAGTCTGCAGCAGTGGCAAAACATGTTTTCAGCCATGATTAGGTTGATCATGGCAATTACAAAGTGGGGGTGTTTATCAGGCCCATCATTCAGCACAGGGCACCAGATGTTCTCATCTTATCAGAGAACGGGGGCCTCGGCAGGGTGAGGTGCTGCTCCCAGTCACCACCAGGTGGCGTGCCAAGCTGTATTTTTACTCAAGACCGGAGCTTTAATACATTTTCAATAGAGGCACTTTGCACTTTCTGCTATTATATGCAGATACGCATATGCTATTGTATACAGTCAGTAGAGTCTCTAGTATGTCATATCCAGTGAGCTTCATCTAATTGTCTTTTTTCAACTTTCCCCCACATTCACACACACGTGCTGTAACAGCATCCTGGTAGTCTTGCAGCTGTGCAACACTGTCTCCACACCTCCAGCTGGTGGCAGTGGATAGCTAACTCCTCATCCCTGTGAACAAAGGAGTAAACAACTTTGTTTTTCTCAGACCACAATTGATTTGTGCAACGCTTTTGACCCGAATGAAGAGAGTGACCCAACTTAGAGATGAGTGTCTAGTTTACAGATTGATCGAATAGTAAGGAAGCGTTAGAGATAAATTTAAGGTTTTTAAAAGACTGCATGGGAGCAATGATTCATGCATATGATCCAGTTGTAAAAGTTTTCTTGAAATAGGGGCTTCTATTTCTGTACACTCAGTCACTTTTATCCCTTTATTTCTGAAGATAGTGTAGTTGTTTTTTAGCAGGGGATCTGGTGACATCCATTGCATGCTTTTGTGCATAGCTGTGTGTTTTCCATGTGTGTGGCAGCCCAGGCGGTGTAACAGCAGACTCAAAGCAATGCACAAGACTTGGAGTAAACAGCTTTGGTCTAGAGTGAAACTATTTTCCTCTGAGCTGTGCAGGGAGGAACTCTGCCAGACTGAGGCATGCTCAGCTGGCCTGTTTTCTTCTAAGAACCTGTAACCATCAATCATCATCAGCCCTGCCTGTTTTCTTCTCTGCTCCCTCCACACCCAGTCTCCATGTTTATTATGGTGCGTTCTCACTCAGTCTGGAAATATAGGCGCTGTGAGAAGAGCTGCGCCTAAGCGGCTCAGCTCAGATGGTGAACAATGTAGAGGAAGTAGGGATTTTACGTGTGTAAGTTGTAACGATGCCATTATCAGCTGAACAGGAGTCACGAGGGATATGGTATTTTGTGACACTTCTGTGTGCTTTTAGTTTCATTTCTATTATGGTTTCACTTTTAATTAAGCTAACCTCATGAGGGGGTATTGCGCACAGCATTTGTCGAGACATGTTCTGGGTTCCTGTAATTGCTGCCATCCTTTAGAGAGGGTAACCTGTAAAGATGATAATCCAAGTTTGATTGGTAAATGAGTGGAAGTGGACTGATGGAAGTTTTTGTACTTTGTATAATGATGCTTTAAATATAAATACCAAAAAAAAAAACCCACAAACTAGGAGTAGTTTCAAATAACCAGATGGTTGATGGTTTGATCCCACTCTCCCTGTTCTGAGTGGCAATTTGTCCTCAGACAAGGTACTAAACCCTAAATTATCTGTGGAGGCTGTGATGGCAACGTTCGATTGATTTGTAAAAGATAATTACACTTTTACCAGAAAAATGGGAGAAGGAGAGGAAATCCATATTCTCTATTTGTTACATCTAAACAAGCAGTGGGGCACCAATTTTAAGAAAATCAAGGCAAACTTGAATATTTGTTCCACAGAGATGCAGTGCATGGATGTGTGTGTGAATGAGTGAATGGCAAAAACTGTCTTTTAGAGCGCATCAAGACATTTACACGTCACTCCTCCTGAAACCTTTCCTGATAAGGGTTGTTGCTCACTCATTTGGGCCTAATAAAGCAGCTGAATGCAGCCACTTGATTCTTGTTTACACCCGGAGAGCTGAAAAGTCCGTGCCGCCGCAGAGCGCCTGAACGCAGCATCTCCCAGCCCTCGAACCTCTCCTGAGGCCTTACATAATAAATTCACAAAGCCCCGCCCACTTCGGCGTGCTGCAAATAGGGCTGCGGACCTCGCAGAGCGCAGCACTCCAAACTTTACCAGGAGAAGTGAGCGCACCTGGAGACTTTAACTCACTGAGGAAGAAGAGGTGAAGAAACTTCTCTGAGGACAAAACAAACCAAACAACAATGATTTTCGACAAGTTGAGAAAGTTGGACATCGTGTTCGATTCCCCGGAACTGGACTGTCCCCCGGTGTTCAGCAGCGGGGACGTAGTGTCGGGCCGGGTGTTGCTGGAGCTGTCCAGGGAGAGCCAGCTGGACTCGCTGAAGCTCCACGCCGAGGGCTTCGCCAAAGTGCACTGGACCGAGTCCCGGTCCGCGGGCTCCAGCACCGCCTACACGCAGAACTACAGCGACGAGGTGGAGTACCTGAACCGCAGAGAGGTGCTGCTGCAGGCAGGTCAGTCCACGGTGCTGGGACGGGGGACGTACTCTGGAGGGGACACATAAAAAACAAGTTCTCTCATTAAAGCCAGTGGAACAATAGTGGAAGTGTTTTATTTGACACTGACTAGTTGTTTGTCTGCTAACTGGGGATAGTGTTGTTTTCATGGTTCAGTGTTGGAGTTAAAGTAAGTGGCTGTTTATGAGATGATTTATAATCCTCTGGAGAAAGTTCACCAATTCTCAGTGAATGAAACAGAAGTCAAACTGGTTTTATTAGGTATTTCAAGGGATGTTTTTTTTCTTGTTGAAAACTTGCTCGAAGAATTCAGAAGTCAGTCATTGACATGACCACTTTTGCTTTGGTCCTCTTGGTTATTTTCTTCTGCCATATGAGAGGTTTAGTTGTTGATCACTCCTTGATATGCAAGTATAAAAAACCTCAGTGTTCAGGAAGAAACCTAAACCGTGCTCCGGAAGCTGTCTGCACACGGCTCTGTTACTGTGAAAACATCTGTTGAATGGAAAAGTCCTGATATCAGACGTTTCCTCAGTCAAAGAAAATCCTGGGTTGTTTTTCTCCAGCGACACTTCAGGTCTTCATTCATTGGGTGCTGTGTTGTTTTGGTTTTGCAGTGCATACAGGAAACTCACACCCAGGACTCGGGCCATTTTATTTTAGTTTTTCCTGCTTTGTTATCTTCTTTGACAATCTGCATGCAAAAAGTAATTCAAATACACACAAAATAATTTGTCTTGGTTTTGTCTGTGGTGTATGAATAAGTTTTGGAGGTGTGCCTGAAAATCTTTTTTTTCCCCAACAACCCACTTGACCCATTAAGAGGATTTGACGGTGACAGTATTGTATTTTGAGTCAAATTGGAGCTTGCGGCTCACAGAGGGACAAAACACACTGAGTCTGTTAAACGCAAACACGTGTTTCTGGACCTGTGCAGCAAGAGAGGGAGAAAAAAACAGCAGTGGAGACGGGCTGTAGTACAGCTTGAGGAAAAACATGTTCTCCCTCAGCACAATGAAGCAAGAACCGCCCCTTTAGAGACTCCATGTGATTGCAAAGAAAGGAAGAGAGGTTTCTCTTTCAGCAAAAGTCATGCTTAAATGATCTATTCATACTCTCCCACCGAGTCGGCTTGATTTATATCGATTTCCAAAGAATAGCACTCTTTTAAGAAAGTTTGTTCCCTTTGTGCACAAAAGTTTTATCTGGACTTTACCTCCAGGCATTTACTTCCTCTTTTACACAGTATGAATATCTTTATACAGAATCAGATAAGTACAGATTAAGAAACTTTATTTCATTGTCCTGAATTTCTTTATAACAGCAAGAGGCTGATCATCACAGGGTTGAAGTCCTGTAGTCCTAGAATAAAAATTGATAAATGTTTTTTCTTTTTTATCTCCTCTCCCCCACAGATAATGGTGAAGTAACCGTCCTTCCCGCTGGCAGACATGAATTTCCATTTAGCTTCCAGCTGCCAGAGGAGACGCTGGTCACCTCCTTTGAAGGGAAACATGGCAGCATCCGTTACTGGGTCAAAGTGAAGCTACACAGGCCATGGGCAGCTGTCAAGAAGATCAAGAAGGAGTTCACTGTCATTGAGCCAATTGACATCAACACACCAGCCCTACTGGTGAGCATCTCACCCCTCACTGTTCATCAATGTGTCTTTACACCCCTCATTGTTTTCTGGGCGTTCTGAGGCACTTGCTCATTGGGTCTCATCATTCCTCAGGCGCCACAGGCTGGAACCAAGGATAAGATGGCCCGGGCATGGTATCGTAACTTTGGACAGGTGTCAGTGACGGCAAAGATCGACCGCAAAGGCTACACACCAGGTAAGAGTCCAGCATCTCAAATGGCACCCTCTATAAAAATGTTTTTTGTTGGCCAGATGAAAACAAAATCTCCAAATTCTAATTTTATTTCTCCTCCGTGCAGGTGAGGTGATACCCGTCTTCGCGGAGTTCGACAACTCTACCTCCAGATCAATTGTGCCCAAAGCCTACATCACTCAGACACAATCGTTCATCGCCCGCGGCACGAAGAAACAGAAGCACTCGGTGGTGGCCACATTGTCTGGCGACATTGTGGGTGCCAGGTGCCGGGAAACTTGGCACGGACGCGCCATCAAAATCCCTCCTGTGGGGCCCTCCATCCTGCAGTGCCGCATCATCAAAGTGGAGTACATGCTCAAGGTGAGCCTAGTCAACAGTGGCTGTCAACACTGTGTTCCCTTTTGCTGTGCACATGGCTGGATCCAACAGTTCTCTACGTTTCCTTCCTAACAGGTTTGTGTCGATGTTCCTGGAACGTCAAAGCTGTGTCTGGAGCTGCCACTGGTCATGGGCACCATCCCCCTCCATCCCTTCGGGAGTCGGACCTCAAGCGTCAGCAGCCAGTACAGCGTCAACCTGGAGTGGCTGCGAATGGCCATCCCAGAGCAGCCTGAGCGTAAGTGTCTGAAAATGTTTGAATATGTGTGGATCTAAATGTGCAAACTCAATTACAGATGTTATCTTACTTGAAACAAGGCAGGGATGTCTGCCAGCATTGTTTTCTTGATTTCCATTGTGTTTATCAAACATAGGATTATAAATTGTTTTTTTTTTCCACTCACTGGGCTGAACATTTAGTGCTCAGACTGGGCAAATAAACCCATGATGCTCTTTTTCAACATTTTAATAACTTATAGATAGTGTCCAGGGATATTTTCAGTCTTGTGACACATCTTGCCAGTGAGCACGACTAAAATCGGAAGTCCCCACTTTTTGTTTTGCTTTTGAAGAGCTTCACTAACCTCTAAGAGTTTGTGATCCTGTTCTTATTTTTATGATCCCTCCACTACCAAAGTCGCACTGGGTCAGATGCCAACATGCAAAAACAAACAAAGGTTTCGATTCAGCCCAGAATCATGCTAGATCAAATCGGTGTTTGTTAATGCAAAAAGCAGTAAACTTTATTGGACTTTCGAGCGTGCACTGATGATGACTCAGCAGCTTTGTGTTTGGACCTGTGCTGCCCAGGTGAGTCAGACCAGTGGACTAATCTTGCCCCTTTCCCCTGCAGCTCCTCCAGATTACAGCTCTGTGGTGACAGAGGAGGAGGCCGAGCACTGCAACAACAACACGGTGGTCTCAGAGCTGGCCGACGACCTGAGTGGGATCCTGGAGCGCCCCCTCATGGCTTTTGTCCAAGAGTTTCGCTTCCGACCTCCGCCAGTGTACTGCGAGGTGAGTCACCAGATGCTTGGAACAACAACCACACTCACCCACAGTTTACTTTTGATTAGCACTTACAGGATCTTACAGAGGTTTTTATTGTGCAGATACAAAAACATCCCTTACAGCACTTTTCCCTCTCAAACAATCTCTTGAGATCACAGCTGAATTGTTCAACAGTATCTTCATAAAAATGTATCTGTGGGTGTCGGCAGAATAAAGGTTAAATGTATTAGAACTGTGAATGTTACTGCTCACTCAACCTTTATCTTATTTGTCTATTTGTCCTTATTTTTCTGCCTATAGATTGACCCCAACCCTCAGCCCATCAACATGAGACCTCGCTGCATGACGTGTTGAACCATAAGCACTGCCTTAAAGTCAAGCGACTGAAATGAATCAAATGAATCAAGAGATTTGTCTTCGCCTGGATTACTTCTCTCTGACATATGGTACCTGGTCCCACCAAGCATTGTGGTGACGGACTGAGGCTCCTCGGAGACGTCAGGAGAGAAGGAGCTCACAGGACCCGGCTGTCGGTGGAGGAGCTGCCACTTTGTTTCCTGTTCATAAAGTAAAGTGGACGCTTTCCTGATCTATCGAGGGGTCAGGAAGCACAAGTCCTCCACATCAGTTCCTGTCCTCCCCCAAGTGATTTTTTTTTGGCTCAAAACAAAGCGAGCTGCAAATACCTCCCAATCAACGATTCCCTCACATGAAGAGATTTTTGAGATTTAAGGGACACATTGGGGGGGAAAGATCACTTGATATTTGTCAGGTGGAGAGTTGGAGTTGCAACAGATGTTGAAAGAAATCGCTCTTGATAAGTTGACAAAGTGTCATCTTTGAGTGGCGTAAAGAAAGAAGTGCAATTATTGTCTTCAGCTTCCACTCCCCTCTGCCTGGCAACACAGTAGATTTAATCAACGCACATTGCTATCTATGCATTGTGTGACTGAACAGAAGTGTGCCTGTAATGATTTCTACTGTTATTTAGGCACATACTGTATCTGAAGGTGTGACGGTGGACAGACGATGACGTTTTCTATGCATGCAGGTAACAATATGTAAAAGGGAAAAATACGTATGCCTTAACTATCTGCAGTAGGAGATTGCATGAGAGTTTCAGGGAGTCGTTCTCTCATAGTTAAATAGAACTTAAGGTTTACTGAAAGAACAAAAAAGGTTGGATTGTATGTGGATGAATTCCAAGAGCAGTGTTGTGTATTTGTAAAGCCTTAAGGCACTGAAGTGTCAGCTAGCTGTGGTTGATGGTGTTAACACAGTTAAATTAAAAGAAGTAGGAAAACACAATTTGTGTGTGAAGCTGCACAAGGCTCATAGATTAGCTCTCTCAGCTGCTAAACAAAAGGAAGAGACCTCTGCGCTGTGTGGCCTGAAGCATATATGGGACCCAGGTGCCTTGTTGCTGCGGTGCTCCGTCAGGCTCAGGTACAGTGCAACACTCTGCTCCAGCGGAGCCTTAAGCTAGAGATGCCACTGAAGTGTATGGACATTCCAAATAGACTCGAGGATTATGTTTTTCTCCTCAACTTCCAAAAAAACTGGTCTTCAGGGTCAGCTGTGCGACTTCCTTGGCACGCACTGAAAAACCGAATGTATTTTTATACAAATGCAGTTGTTGATTTGTAATCTTGCCAAAGTTTTGTATTTGTTTTTTCTAATAAAAACTCTTTTAATGGATGTTTGTCTCCGGTGTTTCCTTGGAACCATGGCTGGTATGTAAGCTGTACACTTTGTTAGGGAAACAGGACAGGGTCTCTGTCTAGCTTGTTACGTGCCAATGGATTGGTACATCATGTTCAATGGTGTGAGTCAAAACTATAATAATGCCAAGGGCAGTCCTCACTGGAGAAATGAGCTGCAGTCATTGGACCAAAACTATAATTACAGACATAAGTTGTGCGTGCGACAGCTTCAATATTACACAACTGAAGCAGTCCAGTTTTTCTGGGTGTCATGAAATGATTTCCATGAACCAAATACAATTTCAAACCTTTCATTTTCATTATTTCATAATTTAGCCATAATTGTTTTGATATAAAACCATGCAAAAATAAACATTCAATCGATTTTCTTTCAGGAGGTGATTATGAGAGAAAAGTCAAAGCATCAACTGCAGCTGGTTAATTAACAGCACCACAATATACATTACAACATGTGCACAAACTAGCTTTTGTTTTTGTTCATTCACAATGTGCTTGTGTGGCACTGAAACAAAAATACCCAGTGAATCAACAATACATTGTGTGATGTCAGTGAAGATCAACAGAGCAGCACATGTTGTAGCAGTGGTATATGCATCATTCTGCTGGACTATCCTAGTGTACAATAAAGTGTAGTAGTGACTCCTGCAATCAAAGAAATGACAGAGAGATGAGAAGAAATAAGATTAAGTTTAAATAAAGTTAACCTCCTTATTCATTTTATAAACAGAGAGAAACAAGAGAAACACTGGAAGCTTCTCAAAGGTCTTTTAAGGATGAAATCCAGTTTGAATCTTAATGGACTGAGGTTTAGGTGACTTCAGTGAGAAAATCAAAGGGTCAGTTCTGTGCCTCAGACAGATGTTCCTGTATTGTATGCAGCATGCTTTTTTGTATGGTACTGAGTTGAAGGTGAGCACTGAGGCGTCCGTCACTTTTTAGTTTCTACTGCTGTCAAACCTGCCTGTCTGGTTATAATGTGTGGATTCATAGCTCTAATATTCTGTTCTTTATCCAGATACTCATCTAAATACTGTAAGCTGGTTTACCTCTGTGTTTACCTGAGTATCTATCAGCTGTAACATGAGTCCGCATGCAGACTATATAGAAAAGGGACCTTATTATTGTTGTTATTATTATATCAAATAAATTAAAAGAATAAGGGGTGATCCTTATTCAGTTAGTGTAGGGTAACTATTATCCCTTTCAGAAATATCAGATAATGGATATTTTGCCTGTTTTAAATGTGATCAATATGCTTTATGGTGATGAATTTGCACTCTCCACATGTCCTTCTTGTGAAACGCTAGATACTGCCATTAGATTTCTTCTTAAATCTTTTCCATCTAACTCACATAATTCATCAATTATTAAGTTAAATTTAATCTGAACCACAAAAACATTCCACAGGATTCTTGTGAATGGTTCCATAGAACAGATTTCATCAAAAACACACAAGGGCTACATTAACCTTTATCCTGTTATTTGCAGCTGCAACTATAGTTATATTGGGATCATTTGGTTTTGATAATCATGTTATGACCTCTACACTACAGAGAGATCCTGTCAAATGAGAGGCTGCATTTATGTACTAGAAGACTTTAAACATTTGAGTTGCTGGTCAAACCTTTTAAAAGGCTGACGTCCTACTTTAGAATGAAACCCTCCCTGTGTGTTCACACACTGTAACCTACATACCTACGGTCTTGCCTCAGGGTGTCCTGTGGCCCAGTTTAAGGTGGAGGTGCACAACAGGTCTGTTTGAGCATGTGTGCTCTTGACCTGACTAAAATAAAAGACTGTATCTCAGCTTTAATGCAGAGAGAGATGTATGTATTAACTTGAAATCAAAGTGTAGAACCATAACTCCTCAATATTATGTTTAATGCAGACACCAAATAGAATCTACAGGGATAGTCAACTCAGTGAAGTTTTCCAAGAAATCTGTGCATCCTGTTTGTTTCTCCCCGGTTCACGTGACCTAAATAAAGATAATAATAATAAACTTTATTTGTATAGCACCTTTCATACAAGAAATGCAGCTCAAAGTGCTTTACATACAATATAAATACAAATAATACCATGTTAAAATGTAATTAATAAAAGAGAACAGATTCCAAATAACATAAGAACATGTTCAAATGGAAATAAAAAAAAAATAATAATAAAAGGATGATTTTCTTTTCCTTCATAAAATGTTTCAGACAAGTTGAATAGTGCAGTGGATCCCCAATCACTCATTTCAGAGATCGTAGAGTAAAATATCACTATAATATCACTATATTATAGGTATATAATATATATATAATATCATATACTATATAATATTATACTATATAATCATAGCCTCTTGAAGTAAGGTGTGCTTTAAAGTAAGTTCTTTGGGGGGAGGATTAGCTGGTTGTAGGTCAGGAGGATATTTTCAACAAGGAGTTGCATGGTTGATGGTTAGTTCCAACTAACCATCAAGTGGATATTCTGTCCTGACTGGATGTTCTTCCAAATGACAGCTGAATGTTTGCAGAACAAGATTCCTGCAACTCCTTGTTGAAAATATCCTCCTGACCAACAACCAGCTAATCCTCCCCACTCAGAACTTACTTTAAAGCACACCACTTGATATCCATTTGATATCCACTTGATGGTTAGTTCCATCTGAGGGATTCCTCCTCTGTCGCTCTTCATTTTGTCATCATATAGACGTGGGAAGGTGGTGCAATTGTTAGTACTGTGTGTGTGTGTGTGTGTTTGCACATGTCTTTTTATTGTTCTGAGTTCCAATATTGGCTCAATACTATCATTGTGAGGACATGTTGACTTTGTGAGGACATTTTGGCTGGTTCTCACAATTCAATGGGCTGTTTGAGGGTTGAGACTTGGTTTTAGTCATTGTTCACAGGTTGTTGAACACCTCGGTTGATCTCACCACCTCACAAACAGAAACACCCAGGGCCTCACTCAGGTTTTGACCCCAACCCAAAAAGCCTTGGCAAATCACAACGCACCACACGAACCAATCCACATGCACATGCTTAAGACTTAATGACGACGTATCGAGTTTCAGACACAAGACTAACAGCCCTGACAAGTCAGAGAAGTGTGTGCTAAGGCAGCACACAGGCAGGAGATGGGGTTTTCACATAAATGAGGAAGTTTCTGCAGATGACATCTTGTGTGGTTTATGAAAGACGTCAAATGATGTTTCTGTTTGTGAGGGATCAACAGGAGCACACTCTGCAAAACAGTCAGCTGTCAGCGAGAGGTTTTGCAGACTCATCATATTCTTGGTGACTGTGTTATTCATCAAGTTGTATCTTTTGATCCACAGTTATTGAGCAAGATCATTAATGATTTAGACGGATTTAACTGTCTTTCAACCTGCAAAATAAGCACAATTACTTCCTGAAACCTATGACACAGGAACCGATGTAGCCATGAACCCTTCAGTTAGGACTCTGCCTTTCTTAACAGTGACAGAAAAGACTTAGTCACAAGTACACAAGAAATCATGGTCTACTGCATCAGAGGCTGCACTCTGAAAATCTTTGTTTTTTATGTTGACATCATTGATGGTATATAACCTATGGTTCACAGGAAGATGGATCAGAAAACACTTTCAAAATACACATGTGCTGTGAATCGAGGGCAGGGTTATCGGGACGTGATTGAAAGGCTTGTGCACAAAGAAGAAGAGGAAGAAAAAAAACTCAGACATCTGACTTCCTCCTGGGAACCTTGACGGGTTGTCTCTGCTTAGACATGTCCTGAAGTGATCTGTTTAGTGTTGAGTTTTATCCAGAAAGGAAAAAAGTAAGCGTGATGCCAAATATATTTGAGACTTTACGGATATGAAGAATTGCTCTCAGCTCATTTACAAGAGGAGAGGAGTTTGGTATCAGGAGGCCTTGATCGTCTGACCGTTTGCCAACCACAGTGTCTTGAAATATTAATAACATAATCTATCACAGACAACTAATAAACAGTCAGTAGTTAACAGATACCAAAGTATCCAGTGAGACAAAAAAACAAACCAGAGCTGTTTCCCGTCAGTCCCGAGGACACATCATTGGTTTTGAAAGACATCATAAAACTTTATTGTGCTCTATGTTGGAGGGAAATCCAGGAAACATGTTACTTGTTTGAATGTGCAGAATCGTCCATGGCCAAATATGTTTTGTCTTTAGGGACGAAGAATTTACTTCAGTCTGTCTTCTGTCTCTGCATTTTTTAGGTCTCATCAGAAGGCAATTCATTTTTTCAATTACTGAAGTAGTATATTTGTGTTGCAGTTTAACTGTATGGACATTTAGTTTGTGATCAAGTCTATAAAACTATGGTAAAAAAAACATCCATTATTGTATGTATTAATAAACCAGAACCCTTAAGACAGCATCAGTGAAATGTCAGCAGGGGGTCGGGGTCAGCTTCCAGCCCCCCCCCCCCCTCCAAGGCTTCATGGAAATCAGTGTAACTTTAGAGGACTGACAGAGCAGACAGCCGAGCGCTGCACAGCAAACTGCTCCCCAGAATATTCTGGAGGGGAAAAATACCACGTTAGAGCATTAAACCCCCCCGACAATATGCAAAAAAGAACAGCTTTGTTTCTACGTCTGCTCCTCCCCCGGTTGTAATTCAGGGTTTCCACCAAATCTATTTGTTGCTTTGTTCGGTTTATAATCTGTCTCTCTTTGTTTCAGGCCTGTGCGATGCTCTTTGTTTGTGAATCCCCCTGGGCACAATGGAGGCTCCACACAGAGCCCAAAAAGCATGACATGATGAATTCTAACAAACAGAAATCAATCTTTAGTATCTTGAGGCACCATCACCATGAATCCCAGATTATTAGATGTCAAAAAGCAAAAAAGTGATGACCTCAGACTCTATGATCTCTGAAATAAACACCTGCCAAGCTTTTGACAGTGATGTTTGGAGCTGGTACCATTGCTCAGTTTACCAAACTTTGAAAAGTGAGACAGT